CGAAAGGTCGATGGATCGATTCCTGCTTTAGCAGTTCTTTTCTAAGAAGTCGGTTTTAGACACGCATTTTTGGCCCCTAGGCCCTAAGTTCGCACGCCAATATCGTACGCCCAATAAATCTATGACAAGTATTCATCTGATTAAGGAATAAGTTGCAAAAGAACTGCAGTTGCAGTCTGTACCTGAAATACCAATTGTGTTACGGTAGGTACTGTCGATACTGTCGATCCCCTGGTGGCAGAAATGTTAAAGTTATAGTTAAGGCATAGCTCCTATAGATGACGCCTTTGACGGCTGGAAACTGATAATCTCGTCCCCTGATTACGTTAACAGCTATGCCCAACTTTTTTGTGCATGGTGATTCTTACATGAAAACTATCTAATTGCATGCTAACCAGCGTGCGATTTTTAGCTTAGTTTTCGCTACTTTTAGGTACTTTACCTTGCCAAGTGCCACCTACTTTCAAAAGGTCAGCGCCACCCCTGTCATATCCAGCAGGAGCTGCGTGCTCGGTGCTATCACCCATTGGCAGTGAGAAATATTGATCAATGGTCATCGCCCAGCACCATTTTTCTTTCCATTGGCTACGTTCGCATAGTATGCACTATGCATTAGTGATGTCAATTGTCAATCACAGAAAATCAGAACACCGATACCAAACCAAATTCAAACAAAAACCATTGGAAAATACCGAAACCGAACCAATCGGTTGGACTGCAAATATTTCTCTTAGGTATGCAACATATTCATTTGAAGAATGCTTACCTCTGATTTCTTAGGTGCACGCCGTTGCAAATGTATACATAGGCGCGGGAATTACTTTCAGACTGGGGGGGGGGGGGGCACACCATAATGGAGATCAACCTAGGGTACCCCCAAATCTAGTTTTCTCACCGGTTTTAGGCCACTTATTTTTCATCCCTTGGCTTTTTCAACAAAAAAAAAAACATTTGCAAAAAAGTGCGGTATTTCGTCTCAAAGTTGTGGGGGCACCGCCCCCACGGCCCTAAAGTTGGGGGGCAAGCTGCCCCCACTGCCCCCCGGCTCCCGCGCCTATGAATGTATAAAAAAAACGCACAATGACAGATAACACGAAAATTGATATCGCCGAGTGGAATCGAACCACCTACCTCCATATCACCATTCCGATACTCTAACCACTGCGCCACGGCGGCAACACGTACAACGGAGTTTAAATGTAATTAAGTTAAAACTTAGCTTCAATAGACTCCACCAAGGGCGAGGACCGAACGTATGACGCCACGCTGACGTCACTCAAGAGGCACGCTATTGGTCGGGCCGATTCGTGTAATACTATTGGCGAATACGCCGCCGGGCCGGGGGGGGTGTCTGAACACCCCCTTCTAACTAGGCTCCTGGGCCACGTAGCGACACGCGGTAAGCGGCAATCGAAAGAACGTCCAAAATAAGGACGAAAACACTTCGGCCATTTTTTGGGTCAGGTCAAAGGTCAGGTCACTAGAGGTCACCAAAGGTAAAATGTTGCCTATTTCAACATTTTGGAAACTGCCCATGGCTATCTCGGGAACCGATAGAGCTACAGCGCCGCAGAAAAGCGCATTCGATAGCCCTTTTACAGACCTTTCTGAGTAATGTTCTCAGATTTGACCTCAGGTCAACGGTTTAGCCTCCAGAGGGCAAAAACTCCAAAAATAGCCGTTTTTACGAAAAAACGGTTTTTCGGCAATAACTTTTGATTCAAAAGAGCCATGACATTACTTTTGCCAGCATCGTGTTCCTCTCGTCGAGACGCGTCGAATGAACTATAATTTGACCTTGAAAGGTCAACTTGAAAATTTGACCTCAGGTCAAGGTCATGACCTGACCGGAAAAGGTCATGTTGCATATCAGTCGATCTGCAACGTCGAGCCGAACACATCTAAGGCGTTTTCAACGCTCTAGCACGTCTCTATCAGAAGTTATTAGCGAAAAACTGTTAGATTCTGTTCGTGACCTGAGATGACCTCGGGGACATAACGAGGGGTCACGGTTGCCATTTTCCGGTTCACTGTATCAATTTTACCTACATCTCGATGTTTGAGAGTGTGTAGAATAGCGTTCGTGCGAAACAGACGCTTTTCAATTTTCTCCCGTTGACTTATAATGGAGGCCGCAAAATTGACCTGACCTTAGGTCACCGATATCAAAATTCCGAGATATAAATTTTATAGATAATGTTGCTCTAATCAATCGCTGAAAGTTTCAAGGCAATCGATCGATCGGTGTAGCTATGACGAGCATTCTTATTTTTTTCTGAGGTGAGGTCACTTGGCGTGACCTGGTGACCTGACCTAAGACGACCTGGACCTGAAATTTTCAGAACATGTGCGGAAAAGATGCACGAACAGGTGTGCCAACAACGGCGGCGCGGAGGCTCCGCGCCGCGCCGCCGTTTTTGAGATATCTGCGAAAAACCGCAGGGGGGGGGTGTTCAAACACCCCCCGGCCCGGCGCGGGTTAACTTGGCCTGGTGACCCGACCTGACATGACCTGGGGTCAAAAATTTCACACGTTGTCCAAAATTGATGTACCAAAAGCTACCCAAGCGGCGCGGCGCTACGCGTCGCGGTTTTTTATTCACACGCAAAAAACGCGACAGGGTGGTAACATATGCCCCCCCCCCCCACTGGGGCGAAGGCTAAGGTCTTAGGTCAACCAGTGACCTCTTAGGTCAGGTAAGCGCAACAAGGCACGGGCTCGGTTTTTGGTCAATTATTCTGCCAAAAATGGTCGCACTGCCACGATTTTGGCATCATCGTGTTTGTCTAGCTCAGGCGCATCGAATGCTATACTTGGTGTTCGGGTGAAGTCAACTTAAGGTGTTGTCCTCGGGTCAAGGTCAGGTCGGAGCCCCTCAGGTCACGGAAATGGTTTAAGGAGGTCATATCGCATATCATTGGACTTCGCAGGTCTTCCCGAGTCCACTGGTGGCTTTCCCCACTCTCTAGCTCCAGCTGATCAGGAGTTATTGACGAAAAACTTAATGGCCTTAGTGACGTCATAAACGAAGTCACGCAAAGTCAACAATGCTAAAATGAAGCACCAGACCTTGCAAGGAGTGCATGAAACCATTCACGGTGCCCGAATAGCGGCTTCCAATTTCCCTTGTTGACTTTAAGTGGTGCTAGATCCTGTATTACTCAATTATGATGTCATAACTAAACAGCTTCACGTCATATGTTTAGTGCTTGACACCAAAATGATAGCTTACATACAGGGTGTCCCAGAATTACCCGGACATTTATTTTCTGGCTTAAAGTACGACTGCGCTCGCTTCTAATGATATACAAGCATCATACTTTTATAAGATATCCCTTAGCTATCGAGATTGGGGATTGTGTGCTTTTGGTGGCCGGTAACGACTCGAATCAATTATTATCCCGAGTCAAGTAAGAGTAGTCCTTTTCCGTTTTCAGCTTAAGCCACTAATAGGCAACCATGGTGAATCAACTCCCGTTCTCAACTTTGTAAACGAACTTTCGGCATGGTTTTTGCTGGAGAGCTTCAGCAGCTCATCTGCAAGCAGTTAGGATTGAGCAAAGCGCAATTATATCAGCTAACGAAGCCAGAGAGAGCAAGAGATAAACCTATTGACAAGCTTGGGCTCGGCCAAAAAGGGCCATGCACCAGTTGTCAAACAAGTGGTTGCTTGTCATAGGCAACAAACGTCACCGATCTAGCTAAAAACTAGCTAAACAATAGATCAGGATTATCTACAAAACATCAGTCTACTTTGCACCACTATCGACAAAATTTTGGAATTTGGGGTCCTTCGCCAGAAAAATATGCGAAAACTACGGGAAAAGCAGCGCAAATCACTACAATTCATCCCAAAAACATAACATATACAACAAAACAGTATATTGAGGCACACTTTGTGGTCTAACGAAGGTATTATGTCATTTGAAACGCCAGAAAAAGGCTTGTGTGAACGTCAGATGGCTACAACGCCCCAACAGCAGAGACGGCCAGGCACCCGTCTAAAATCAGATTGTGAGACATTTTGAGCCACCGTGCACTCATTGGGCTTGATATGATGGCCCAAAGACAACCGTTAGCACAGGGTACTACTGCGGTAATATTCTACCATTGCGAAAACTGGATGCCGTGAACCAAATGGCCATGAACGGGTTTGTTTTGGAAACCAAATCTGTTGGAAGCCAAAGGTTGCGCAATGTTTAGACATGGAGCTTCTCCACTCCAGATGTAAAAAACGCAGCAAAAGTGACGTAGGCAGAAATTTTTGTTTTGGGGGATAATACCTTATTGCCTGGGAACACTTTGATGTCAAGTTTATCTTATATGATCGTATTATCCTCCGGCAAGAGGTCAAAGAAAACAGGCCTACACCCAGTTTCGGGAGACCCGTAAAACAACTGAAACCAGCAATGGCTGGCATTTTCCATCATTGTCGGCTGATCTTGTAACAAGCGTATCTATTGCATGTGCTATTTCACAGCCACCCTAGTTGACTATATAGGACGGTAAAAAGAAAAAAAGCGCAATCATGTGTGCCTTATTTCATACGCTAATTAACAATGTCCGGGTAATTATGGGACACCCTGTATAACAGAAAAGGTATGCAAAGTTGTATGAAGTTTGCTTCACAAGTTGCGAAATAAGAAGCAAAAAAACTTTTGCGGAAAGGCCACTGGCCTCTCGCTGGAGCATTTCCGACCAGTGTGCAGGGGCGCCCTGCAGGGCCACTAGGTAGTCTCTACCAGGGTAAACCGCGGGGTCCCAGGTAACTCTCTCCCGGAGGTGGCGGTACATCTGCAACGATACGGCCGCTGACTACAAGCACGGTGCGCAGAGTTCAACATCCGGGCGAAGCCATTCGGGCACTAGGTGGGACAGCGCACTAATAATTGCCGACACGTGGTAGCAGCCGATGGCGTGCGGGGAGGAGGGGGGAGCGTGCGGGACTGACACACAGAGAGGGCAGAGCCAGCCACGGAGAGCGGCGGCGGCCAATTACAGTCCGAGTCGGAGGAGCTGGCGTGGGGCGGCTCCAGCAGCTGGTGGCCGCCGGCCGGCGCCGGCTCCGGCGGCGTGCTGGGAGCCGGGAACACGTGCAGGCCTGCGGTCACAGGCGGCACACGGCTCAGCCACCACACACACACACACACACACCAGTTCATACCGACCGCAGCACGGTGAACCCCTGCCAGCGGCTAGTTCACACATTCAAGTCAGACATTAGGAAAATCAGATATACTAAATCATACTAAATTAGAAAAATGCGCCGCTGAAACTCGGCATGAATGTTCAGGGCAAAATGGATGCCAGATTTGTTATCAATACCCACGAATACGTTACATCAGACCTGCTGTGTGTCAAGGTCATCCAAGTTCATTCAGGTCCTAAGAAATCACAATATCACCGAACCGTTTCCGATCAAGTACATTATGTAGCGTATGTAGTTAAATACAGCTAAAAATAAACGAAAACTCACCCCCATAACTCCCTCAAAACTCAGTGAAACCATCCATGACAAGGAGGTGTAGCTTTATGAACGCGGCTACGCGGCTTTATGAAATCGGCGGCTCTGACAGCGCTCGTGGCCACGCCAGTGACCTAGGCCAGTGACTAAGCACACACTAGTGACGTCAATTACAGAAAATCAGCGCCAAATCTTACAAATGCCGTAAATAGGATACCGATACTTAACCAAATACCTACTGAAACAATGGAAAAATACCGAACCCAAACTAGCTTGGGAATAAAAGAAAATACCAATTTTTGCCAAATTCACAGCCTTTTATACGTCAGCGAGGATTGATAATAGGGGCAAAATACAAAAAAAAAAAACATCAGGTTTGAAATACAAAATGCAATGTCGGTATCCGTTTGGTATCGGTATACCAAAAGTCGGTAGGTATACAACTGACATCTCTAGCACTAGTGATGCCAATTAAGGAAAATCGTGATACCGATACAAAACCAAATACGAACAATACTCATGGAAATATAGGTACCGGAGGTGAACCGACTTGAGAATATGAGGGAAATACTAGGGGCATTCCACGATAGATCGACAAAAAAAAGCAGACACCCAAATATTTCATTTTTCGTTTAAAACTGGTCTAAGGGGTTGTGATGGGCGGGGAAGCCAACTGTGGTGTCATGGGGGCACATATAGCTGAGCCAGCGGGGGCCCACATATGTGACCTGGTCCCCGGTCACCGGTGTACCTGGACCGAATAAACAGTTTTGATCGAGACACCCGCCTGTGTGGTTGGCCGAGGGAGCCGGAGTTGTGACATTGGCGACGAGGTGAACCTGTGGTGATGGCGGGGAAGGCGCCCGGGTTTGACGCCGACGTGGAGAGCTTTGGGGCGTGTACGAGGCGTCTGAAGCAGCATTTCATCTCACAAGATATTGGAGATGATCAAGTGGCGAAGAAAAGGGCAATTTTGCTTTGTGCTATTGGAGCCAAAGCATTTGCTTTGCTGGAAGACCTGATCGCTCCGATAGCGGTCGAAGACAAGACCTATGATGAGTTAAGTGTTGAAAGCTCATTATGAACCGGAAAGATCGGAAATCGTTGCCAGAGGTCGATAAAATGCTTGGAGTTGCTCCAACGAACATCTTAGTCCCATCACTGTCTCCAACTTAGCCCTCGCCTGGCGGGAGGGGGGATGCAGCCTCCCTAAGTTTTTTTTCGCGAATAGCGTAAAAGGTGGTGTCGCGTAACGCCGCAAAATTTGGCGCAACGTCTGGGAATGAGCCTTTTGCCACATATCCTGAAAATTTCAGGTGTCAGTCATTTCAGGACAGGACACCAGGTCACAAAAACCGGTACAAATCGGTACAATGTCAGGTTAAAGAACATATTGAGCGGAAACCGAATGAAGAGCTTTTCGACGTGAGTGCCGTGGAACGTAGCGCTGCCAAATATCAGACACAATTTGAAGCATTCATTTGACACGTGTCCTGGGAGCACTGAGCTCCGGCAAATCCCAAGGCAAAAAACCGGTACATTGTCGAAATGCCTGCGAAAAAAAAACATTTCTTTCCATAAAATCTAGAGTTGTTCATCGATGTATTCCAACTTTCAGGATATGCTAAGCTCACCACATACCATCACATGCATCCCGTTTTTTTTTCGATTCGGTTGACCTGAGGTTATCTAGAGGTCATGACGAAATCTAAATAAATTTTCCCGAATGGCTCCAATTGTGAAAACTTGAGAGACACATGTTTCATGTTTGAGAGCTCATGTTTGAGACACATGTTTGAGAGCTCATGTTTCAGCGTTTGAAACCACGAGAAGCTTGCAAACGCGCGGCTAATGCGAGCCGACATACGCCGAATCGCGATTCCGGCCAAACATGGCCTCGAGAAATTGGGTCAGGGTCATGAAATTTTCAGGGTAGGTGTAAAATTGATCAACTCGAGGGTAATGAAAGTTTCGTCGCGCTCGGCCGCTTTTTGCGCGAGTTATTTGCGAAAAACCATGGGGGGGGGAACCATCCGATCCCCCCTACACATGCGAGGGTTAAGATACCCTGATGCTGAAAAACTTGTACTTTGATTTTTGTACTTTGATTTTCAGGTCAAGGCCAGGTCATCACAACAGAAAGCTTAAATCATGACTCGGTCACGGGTCACATGTTATATGGTTCATTCAGGCCATATATTTTGAAATAAGTGTCGTTTTTGTCATTGGAGGTCATCATCAGCTTAATAGGTATGGCTGAGGTCAGGTCACTTTCGGGTCAAAAAGGTCAAATTTTTTAGTTGAAAATTTTCAACAAAAAGGATGTCTATTGGATGCTATTTAAGCTTAGTAACTCGCCGGTACTTTTTATATCGGTGTACGATGTAAAAAACGTACGAAAAAAACGTACGATTTGAAAAGTTAATTATATGTGAAGTTTTGACTATGACGCGTATACCTTAGCTATTTTCAACGATATCGGGCTAGAACTTTATAGTGACATGTTACATAGGCACCACAATTACTTCCTAAATGTTCGAATGACACTTCATTCGAAATCAGCTCCAAAAACTACCTTACAAAGTACAAGCATGTACACCCCGAAAAGTCATATAAGGTCATCTAAGGTGAATGACTTTGACCTGACCTTCAAGTGACCTTTGGAGCCACTATTATGCATGGCACAAACAACATCTCACATATTAAAACGTTAATAGCTATAAAAAGACAGAGAACACACGGAATATGTGTGCTGACATGCGCTAAACTCGATTCCGGCCTGAATAATCTGAAGAAGCAGGTGACTGATCAAAGGTCATTTGGGTCATGGTCATGAAATATTTATGGTATGTACAAAATGAATTCACTTGTTGATGTAAGTTTTGTCGCGATCAGCCAATGTTTGCGCGAGTTATTCGCGAAAAAAACGAGGGGGGCTTTCGACACACCCCTCAGGCCCCACCTCTCTAAGTGCGAGGGTTAATTAAGCCGTGACTTATTCCTAAATGATGGTGTCGTTTCGACCAAGATAGCTACTTGGGTACCGAAACGTTCTGGAGCAGCATACAAACATCAACACTACACTAACTTGCATATGACCACCATTAGCCCTCGCCGGCACAGGCCATTTTGCGTCCTTCGACGGCACAAGGGGGGGGAGTACGACCTCCCCCCCCCTCGCGTTTGGCCCCTGATCGAGCTAGAGCTTCGCGGAAAAAAACGAGCGTGTTGCCCGTCACGAGAGGAAGCCGATGATACCCAATTTTAAGGTCCTAGGTCATCAGGTGACCTTCCAGGTCAGGCCAATGACCCGAAAACCGGAAAAATCGGGATCTGTCAGAAAGTCGTAAAGTGTGGCTGCTATGTGGTTTTCCGGGGTGCTGATCACGAATATCGTGTAAGTTTTGATCAGAGATGTCTTTAAGCATTTAGACCAGGTCGGGTCAGGTCAGGTCAGGTCAACCGGTAGGGGTCGTGACGGGTATTCGTAATACGTGTCAACCGCCTCTGACAGCTTCGTAACATGTTACGAAGGCACCAAAACTACTTCGTAAATGTTCAAATGGTTGCGAAATTCGAATTCAGTTCCAAAAACTAGCCTAGAAACATGTAAAACTCGAAAAAGTGAACCGAGGTCACCCGAGGTCACCAAAGGTCAATGACCTGACCTGACCTTCAGGTGACCTTGACACCCACCCTAATGTATGGGAGCAACATCAAATCACATGTTTGAACTTTGAAACCACGAAAAGCTTGCAAACGCGCGGCTAATGCGAGCCGACATACGCCGAATCGCGATTCCGGTCAAACATGGTCTCGGAAAAGAGGTCACAGGTCAAAGGTCATTGGGGTCAGGGTCATGAAATTTTCAAGGTAGGTGTAAAATTGATCAATGCGAGAGTACTGAAAGTTTCGTTGCGATCGGCCGCTTTTTACGCGAGTTATTCGCGAAAAACTTAGGGGGGTTGCATCAACCCCCCTGTGCCGGCGAGGGTTAAAAAACACAACAATGCAAGAATGCACGCATACAACCAACGATAATTTAAACGTCCTTCTTACCTGATGGTTGTGTCCCAGACTGATATTGGCCAGTGCCCAACAATGCCGACGCCAGCATTTTCTTTCCGAATAGGCCGGTCCTTATGTAATCCTTCCGTGTGTTTCTTCAGGCTCTCTTTGAGATTATGAAAAGTACGACCAGTATTGGTACTCACACCTTTCCTTTGAATTAGACGGATAAACAGGCGCCATGCCTATAAATTCGCCCAAGCAAATGATATGCTAGATGAACAATGCATGCACAACTGTCTAATCACTGCCATCCGCCGCGCCGGCACACCGGTATCTCCTCACCTTCTCCCCACACGGCCTTGACTCCCCAACTCACACCATCACACTACTGCATACGGTGACCGGTCACACGGTGGATCTGAATGCCTATGTTTTCATGCCAAAGTCTGAAACAACTAACGATTATCATCAGCGTAGAAATGTTGAAATTTAGCATTTTAAAGCTTTTAATTTAAAAGTTTATAAATGTGTTTTAACGCACTTGTCCTTATTGATTGAGAAAAGAGCGCACTTTTGATCGTATTACCTAATACGAAGTAACGCAATCGAAGTGTGATTCCGGTCCA